TCTCTCTTTCTCTCTGTATGTGTGTGTGTGTGTGTGTGTGTGTGTGTGAGTGTGTGTGTGTGTGTGTGTTTGTGTGTGTGGGGGCGCACACCATTGTGTGTAATACAGGTTCATGTGTGTTTGTGTGTGTGTGTTGAATTGCTATTTATTGTGCATTTTTAGAAGCATTGGTTGTGTAGTGCTCAACAATTTATTCTTTGTATTGGGTTGAACGAAAGATATTGGTCACGGGGAGAAAACACATGTAATATTATTGTAATAATACTTTTTTTAGCCATCATAAATGACTCCCATCTCTGTATTCACTTACAAATACATTGTAGTTGAAAAAAAAAAACACGTTCCAAAAAATCAACGTTTATCTCAATCAATAATATTATTATCTTATCACCGTTTTTTCCAGTGTAGCCAACGTCAATGAATTAAACAGTAAAGCTCATTTATTTTTGGGCCATTTGTAAGAAAACATTGTGTAACTCGCATTTCTCTGTTTTAATTTTGGTATTACAATCATTATGATTCTATATTATAGTTTATAGTGAACAGATATTTTGACAAGGGATATCGCATGAACCTATTCTTATTTCGATAGAAAACTTAGAACTCTGGTAAATTGGCAGATAACCTGCCTGTGCTTAATTAAATGTAATAATATAAAAGTGTCCACTTATCAGGAAATAAAATTGAAGGGAAAGAACTCACGACTTTACACTGGGCGTCAGAGGATCTGCACAGAGTTACCACCGCATGGTTCTGCACTCGGTTCATCCAGGTGATAAGTACCTCATCATCATTCCGCCAGGCCACGTTCGTGAAAAGGTAGTCACTGGTGTTGGAGAAAAAGAAAGTACCTAATCAGTTTTAAAGTGAGTCACCTGAAAAAAAAAATGTTCTTTTATATGCTAGTATGGGGATAAGTTTCCATGATGAACTTGAAAGTGGGTGGAAGATAAACGATACCATTGGGGCTCTCGTGGCGTATAGAGGTTAAGGTGTTTGCCTCTCATTCAAAGGTCCCCGCGACGGAGAAAAATTTTCTTCTATAAAATTGACTCCTTTCACCTCCTTTCCTGCTCTCAAGCAATATTCTGTCGTCCTATTTCGTCTCCACTTTCTTGCCCCCCCCCCTCCCCCCCCCCCCCCCTCACCATCTATGCCCCCTCCTCTGGGCTTCAGAATCTTTCTGCAGCCTTTCCAATGCTTCTCATTGGATCCTTCTTACTGCTGTCTTTCCGCCACATCCCTAATCCTACAGTAGGAAAGATCAACACCTAGCCTTCTCGGACAAGGGTGAAAAATCTCGGAGATTCCGTGCACGCAGGTTAAAGATCCCTTGATGGTCCAAAATCGATAAGAGTATCAGCCGACACCCGAAAAAATTCAAAATGTCCTACCAACTGAAAATGTTAGGTTGTTAGGTGTGTCCTTCACGCTCGTATGACCTTATGCAGTTGTGAGCGCTGTAAAACACTTACCCCCCC